TACCACACCCAGCTAATTTTTTGTATTTTTTAGTAGAGACAGGGTTTCGCCATGTTGGCCAGGCTGGTCTTGAACTCCTGACCTCAGGTGATCCACCTGCCTCGGCCTCCCAAAGTGCTGGGATTACAGGCGTGAGCCACCGCGCCCAGCTGAAAGAACTGATTCTAATACGTAGCCAAATTATTTGTTACAAAGGCTGGTATGTTAGAAATTATATTACCTAGCATTGAGCCCCTGGAGCTTCTGCCCTGAAAGTTGAGCTATGCAGTTTCAGCAGGTACAAGATCTACCCCAGACACAAGAGGCGCTATGCCAGGACTGACGGGAAGGTTTTCCAGTTCCTTGGTGCGAAATGTAAGGGTTCAAGCAATTCTCTGCCTCAGCCTCCTGAGCCTCCTGAGTAGCTGGGATTATAGGCGCCCGCCACCACGCCCGGCTAATTTTTGTATTTTTAGTAGAGATGAGGTTTCACCATCTTGGCCAGGCTGGTCTTGAACTTCTGACCTCATGATCCACCTGCCTTGGCCTCCCAACGTGCTGGGATTACGGGTGTGAACCACTGTACCTGGCCAAGGGCATTCGTTTCTAAGGAATCCTCAGCAGATAAACTGGTCCTCTACAGAAGAAAGCATAAAAAAGGGACACTTGGAAGAAATTCAAAAGAAAAGAACCTGCTGAGCAAATTCCAGAGGGCCATTACTGGTGCATCTCTTGCTAATATAGTGGCCAAGAGGAATGAGAAACATGAAGTTAAAAAGGCTCAATGAAAACAAGCTAGCAGGGCTGCTAAGGAAGCAAAAAAGGCTAAGCTAGCAAGACCGCAATGGCTGCTGCTAAGGCAGCAGTTACACAAAAGATTGTGAAGCCTGTGAAAGTGTCAGCTCCCCGAGTTGGTTCAAAACACCAAGTTGACAGATCAGATGCTTAAAGATTGGACTATAAAAAAATATAAATTATATTACCTAACATTTGTGTAACATATTTTAGTTTTTCAGAGGACACATGGCAGGTTATATTGTGCTATAGAGCCTCTTCCACAAATACATTCAGTAATTAAAACAAAAAACACCAAACTCTCAACATACACAAAGCTTAATTGATAAGTTATTTTTTTTTTTTTTTTTTGAGACAGAGTCTCGCTCTGCCACCCAGGGTGGAGTACAGTGGCCGGATCTCAGCTCACTGCAAGCTCCGCCTCCTGGGTTCATGCCATTCTCCTGCCTCAGCCTCCCGAGTAGCTGGGACTACAGGCGCCCGCCACCTCGCCGGGCTAGTTTTTTGTATTTTTTAGTAGAGACAGGGTTTCACCGTGTCAGCCAGGATGGTCTCGATCTCCTGACCTCGTGATCCGCCCGTCTCGGCCTCCCAAAGTGCTGGGATTACAGGCTTGAGCCACCGCGCCCGGCAATTGATAAGTTATTAAGAAAATTTCAGATTCTGTTGCAATCATTAAATCTCAAGGTGCTTTCAGAGTCCGTGAGAAGAAAGGTTTAATGTAGCATAGGGCTAAGTTTTGCATTACTCATATTTTCGTCTAGCGTTGTTACTATCTGGCATTTATTTCTTTTTTTTTTTTTTTTTTTTTTTTTTTTTGAGACGGAGTCTCGCTCTGTCACCCAGGCTGGAGTGCAGTGGCCGGATCTCAGCTCACTGCAAGCTCCGCCTCCCGGGTTCACGCCATTCTCCTGCCTCAGCCTCCCGAGTAGCTGGGACTACAGGCGCCCGCCACCTCGCCTGGCTAGTTTTTTGTAGTTTTAGTAGAGACGGGGTTTCACTGTGTTCACCAGGATGGTCTCGATCTCCTGACCTCGTGATCCACCCATCTCGGCCTCCCAAAGTGCTGGGATTACAGGCTTGAGCCACCGCGCCCGGCTCTGGCATTTATTTCTACCCTAGAGGTGGTCTGGTTATTTAAAAAAAAAAAAAAAAAACAAAAAACCTGTGGGAGTTTTTTGCTTCTGAAGGGTTTTTTTGGTTTGTTTTTTGGTTTTTTTTTTGAGACGGAGTCTCACTCTGTCGCCCAGGCTGGAGTGCAGTGGCGTGATCTCAGCCCACTGCAAGCTCCGTCTACTGGGTTCAGGCCATTCTCCTGCCTCAGCCTCCTGAGTAGCTGGACTACAGGTGCCCGCCACCATGCCTGGCTAATTTTTTGTATTTGTAGTAGAGATGGGGTTTCATCTTGTTAGCCAGGATGGTCTCGATCTCCTGACCTCATGACCCACCTGCCTCAGCCTCCCAAAGTGCTGGGATTATAGGCATGAGCCACTGTGCCCAGCCGCTTATGATGTTTTTTAAAATATACATTTCATTTTCAATTAAGGCAGATTTAGAATATAGCATTAACACAGAGAAATTGTCTAAAAAACATTTAGACAATTTCAGTGTTTTTCCTACTTGGAAGTGATAGGAAACAAGAATGGGGCCAGGTGCAGTAGCTCACCCTTGTAATTCCAGCACTTCGGGAGGCTGAAGCGGGTAAATTACTTGAGGTCAAGAGTTCAAGACCAGCCTGGCCAACATGGCGAAACCTTGTCTCTACTAAAAATACAAAAATTAGCCAGGCGTGTTGGTGCACACCTGTAATCCCAGCTACTCGGGAGGCTGAGGCAGGAGAACCCCTTGAACCTGGGAGGCAGAGGTTGCAGTGAGCCGAGCACCCCTGCACTCCAGCCTGGGCAACAGAGTGAGACTCCGTCTCAAAAAAAAAAAAAAATGAGTGGAAAGGTAGGCATAATCAAGACAGTAAATAGTCTTGTGTAACACGCAAGAGTTTGAACTGTATGTGGATGGGAAGCCACTGAAGAATTATAAGCTAGGGAATTACACCACTACATTGTGCTTTAAAATATTTCTCAAGTACCATTTGGAAGGGATGAGTTAGAGTAACGCAAGAATGGAGTCAGTAAGTAATGATGCCTCTCCTACAAGATAGCATAAAGATGACAGGAGAGACAAGATGCCTGAGCTAGGGAATAGGGTTAGGGATGAAGGGATGAATCTGACAGATGTAAGTGTTAAGTGCAGTGTGGCTAAGACTCATTGACTATGGAGGGGAAGGAGGAAGAATCCAGATTGACTTCTGTCTTGGACAGCTATCTTTACTGTGATGCAGTTATCCAATATAGGAGTTTTATAGGATAGGAAAGGGGTAGAATATAAGTTTGCAACTGAAGGCCATGTGAGTAATGATACCAGTAGGAACTGGAGCTTAAAATGGATATTGAGTTTGAAATTATACATTTTGATGGTACTTGGACCCATAGAAGTAGAGGAGTTTATAGGACTAAGGTGAGGGGTAAAAAGAAATTAAGAAATTAGAACAGAACCTTCGGAGCTCTGAAGATGGAAAGAGTGGCTAGGGAAAGAAAGAACCAGAACTATTGTACTCATTAAAACTTTTACTATTTACAGCCTCTTTCCTCCTTATTCCCTGTGTCTTTAACATAAGACTAAAGCCAGGAAAGGACTGGGTCCCGGGAAACCAAGCAGGGCTTTTATACTGCTTACGGTACTTGATGGAACTTTTCACTACAGAATGCGAAACTCTACACTCTAAACAGTTGCTGCTTCCCAATTGAAAACTCCCACATGTCTACAACTGTACCTTTATTCACATAAGTCTTGCTTTGACATTCTCTTACTCCTGTGCAGTTAAGACCACGATCGATATTCTTTTTTTTTTTTTTTGAGATGGAGCCTCGCTGCAACACCCAGGCTGGAATGTGGCGCCATCTCAGCTCACTGCAACCTCTGCTTCCCAGGTTCAAGTGATTCTCCTGCCTCAGCCTTCCGAGTAGCCGGGACTACAGGCACTTGCCACTGTGTCTAGCCAATATTTGTATCTTTAGTAAAGACAGGCTTTCACCATATTGGCCGGGCTGATCTCGAACTCCTGACCTCAAGTGATCCACCCACCTCGGTGGATGGATTATAGGTGTGAGCCACTGCGCCTGACCAACATTCTCTCTTTTTGAGATGGAGTCTCGCTGTGTTGCCCCAGGCTGGAGTACAGTGGCATGATCTCGGCTTACTGCAACCTCATCTCCTGGCTTTGAGGATTGATTCTCCCACCTCAGCCTGACGAGTAGCTGGGATTACAGGTACCTGCCATCATGCCCAGCTAATTTTTGTATTTTTGTAGATACGGTGTTTTACCATGTTGGCCAGGCTGGTCTTAAAATCCTGACCTCAGGTGATCTGCCCATCTCAGCCTCCCAAAGTGCTGGGATTACAGGTGTGAACCGCCACGCGCAGCCCAATATTCATTCTTATGAGTACTCTAATTGATGCAATTTCTAGCCCATGTATTACTAAAGATCAGATATTCACTATGTATAGTAATAGATACATAACAATGTCCAAAAAAGGTATTTAATAGAAAGCAGAATTTTTTTTAACTTTTATTTTAAATTCAGGGGTACATATGCAGGTATATTACGTAGGTGAACTTGTGTCATAGGGTTTGTTATACAGATTATTGCATCATCCAGGTATTAAGCCTAGTACCCATTAGTTGTTTTTCCTGATCCTCTCCCTCCTCCCACCCTCCACCCTCTGATAGGCCCCAGTGTGTGTTATTCCCCTCTACGTGTCCGTGTGTTCTCATCATTTAGTTCCCGCTTAAAAGTAAGAACATGTGGTATTTGGTTTTCTGTTCCTGTGTTAGTTTACTAAGGATAATGGCCTCCAGCTCCGTTCACGTCCTGGCAGAGGACCTGATCTTACTTATTTTTATGACTGCAGAAAGCAGAAATCATAATCTGAGTAATGCCATAAGATATATAAATAGGGGGAAAATAACCTTATTTACTGATAGAGAAATTCATTATGCTGGAATATTTTTATGTTTTCTAGACTAGTGAGTGTGGAGTAATTAGCAATATGAAGTTCAAAGTTTGGGTAAAAGGTTTACTTTTGTCTTGGTTTTATTTGTTTATATTTTATATATATATATATATATGTGATGTGTATATATAGTATATGTATGAATTTATTTGTAGCTCTGAAGATGGCTGTGGTAGATATCTATCATTCCAGGTTAAAGGAGAGACAAAGACGAAAAAAGTAAGTATAATAAACCATCCTGGCCTCCTTTCAGCTTTGGATTATTGTTTTGTGTGCGTGTGTGTGTGAGAGAGATAAGGTCTCACTCTATTGCCCAGGCTGGAGAGCAGCGGCATAATCATGGCTCACTGCAGCCTCAACTTCCTAGGCTCAATCGATTCTCCCACCTCAGCCTCCTGAGCATGTGGGACTACAGCAGTGCACTGGCTAATTTTTTGTGTTTTTTGTAGATACGGGGTTTCGCTATGTTGGCCAGGCTGGTCTCAAACTCCTGGACTTAAGTGATCCTCCCTCCTCGGCTCCCAAAGTGTTAGGACTGCAGGCATGAGCCACTGTGCCTGGCCTCAGCTTTGAGTGATTGACCACATATAGTCCATGAGAGAATGCTCCACTTGTGGCTTATCTTTTGACCTTGGAGAAGACTCTTACCCTCCTTAGACCTCAATTTTTCCATCTCTCAAATGAGGCTAATAATTCCTGTGTTATTTTTATATCCTCTGTCGTTATCCTATATTGACATTATGATGGACAATGAATAATATGGGTACACTGTTTTAAGCTTTTTGAAGTAAAAGAAGAAGATAAAGGCATGAAGACATTATTGTTACACTTTTTTTTTTTTTTAATATTTGTGAATCATTCTTTGCTTTTTCTTTTTTTTTTTGAAATGGAGTCTTGTTCTGTCACCCAGGCTGGAGTGCAGTGGCGTGATCTCAGCGCATTGCAAGCTCTGCCTCCTGGGTTCATGTGATTCTCCTGCCTCAGCCTCCCAAGTGGCTGGGACTATAGGTGTGCGCCACCACGCCTGGCTAATTTTTGCATTTTTAATAGAGACGGGGTTTTGCCATGTTGGCCAGGCTGGTCTCGAACTCCCCACCTTAAGTGATCCATCCCCCTCTGCCTCCCAAAGTGCTGGGATTACAGGCATGAACCACCGTGTTCCTTTTTTTTTTTTTTTTTTTTGTTAAATAAGAGACAGAGTCTCACACTTAACTCTGTCACCCAGGCTGGAGTGCAGTGGCACTATCATGGCTCACTGCAGTCTCCAACTCCTGGGCTCAAACAGTCCTCCCGCCTTAGCCTCCCAAGTAGTTAGGACTACGGGTGCACACCACCACACTTGGCTAATTTTAAACCTTTTTCTTTTTTTAGTCCGGGTGCGGTGGCTCACGCCTGTAATCCTAGCACTTTGGGAGGCCGAGGCTGGTGGATCACCTGAGGTCAGGAGTTCAAGACCAACCTGGCCAACATGGTGAAACCCCGTCTCTACTACAAATACAAAACTTAGCTGGGGGTGGTGGCGCACACCTGTAGTCCCAGCTACTTGGGAGGCTGAGGCAGGAGAATTGCTTGAACCCGGGAGGCGGAGGTTGCAGTGAGCCAAGATTGCACCACTGCACTCCAGCCTGGGCGACAGGGTGAGACTCTGTCTCAAAAAAAAAAAACCTTTTTTTGAAATGGGGTCTCACAGTGTTGCCTGGGCTGGTCCCGAACTCCTAGGCTCAAGGCATCCTACCACCTTGGCCTCCCAGAGTGCTGGAATTACAGGTGTGAGCCACTGCACTCGGCCTGTTAGGCTTTTATATTTGATTTTTATTTTTTATTTTATTATTATTATTTTTGAGACAGTCTTGCTCTGTCACCCAGGCTAGAGTACAATGATGTGATCTTGGCTTACTGCAGCATCCGCCTCCTGAGTTCAAGCAATTATCATGCCTCAGCCTCCCAAGTAGCTGGGACTACAGGCACGTGCCATCATGTCCGGCTAATTTTTTTGTTTTTAGTAGAGGCACGGTTTCGCCATGTTGGCCAGGCTGGTCTCAAACTCCTGGCCTCAGGTGATCCGCCCACCTTAGCCTCCCAAAGTGCTAGGATTATAGGCATGAGCCACTGCACCCAGACCTGTTGTGCTTTGTTAATGGTCTCTTTCTAACTGTTCATTTTTTTATGAGAAGTCGTTCATCTAAAAGGATTTCAAAGGAATTCCGAACAAGTTTCAGGCGTACTGGTTATTCCTCTCTTTGCAACATATCAAAAAGTATACATTCAGACTTAGAAATTATGGATCTTAGACCCCTGTTGGTTTCAGAGAAGAGTATGCAGAGGGTATAAGAGTGCAGGTGCGTGTATATATGTGTAGGCATGTATTTAACTGTGGTGTTAACTAACTGTAGACACAGTGGTATCTCAGCAGTGAAAAGGAGAGAAGCCAGGTATGGTAGCATGAACCTCTAGGCCTAGCTACTTGGGAGGCTGAGGTGAGAGGATAACTTGAGCCTAGGAGTTCAAGGCCAGTCTGGGCAACAGAGGAAGACCCCATCTCTAAAAGAAAAAGTAAAAGAAAAGAAAGAGGGACTTGAGATTCACTCTGGAGGAACTAAGACGTGATCTAAAGCAGCAGTCCTCAACCTTTTTGGCATCAGGGAGCAGTTTCATGGAAGACAGTTTTTCCATGAATGGCTGGGGGCTGGAATGGTTTTGGGATGAAACTGTTCCACCTCAGATCATCAGGCATTGGTTAGATTCTCATAAGGAGCACACAACCTAGATCCTTCACATGAGCAGTTCACAATAGGGATTGTGCTCCTGTGAGAATCTAATGCTGCCGCTCATCTGACAGGAGGCAGAGCTCAGGCGGTAAAGCTGCTCACCTGCTGTGCAGCCTGGTTCCTAACTGACCCATGGCCCAGGGATTGGGGACCCCTGATCTAAAGTAAAACTTACTCTCTGCATGTCTGGAGTTAGCTTCCATGAAATGCTGAAGAAGCATACCCAGTTGCTCCTATGAGAAACTTCATTGCTAGTTACGAATACCTCTGGTATAAATCAGATTCAAGACACATAACTTTGCCTGGTTTAAATTCTCTTTTGCTTAAAACACACAATTCGAGCTAGAGAGTATTGTAGATCTCAGTTGTTGATGTTGCTATCAAATCTTTTGTTTTATGATGCCCTTTCATTAAACATGCACAATATTTATTTCTAGTACCGTCAAAGTGTTGTGTGAATGCACAGTTGTAAATGTTGAATATGTGATCATGATGCCCTTTTACAGTTAGCAGATTTCTCTAAAATGGCTGTTCTCAATTATTCCCACAAGCTGAATAGATTAATTTTATGACATGAACAGAGATTCCTTTCGGTTTCATCTTAAGTGACAGACACATGTTTTTCAGCATTTGTGAGTGGTTATTGATTCATTCATTCACTCAGCAAATAGTCATGGAGAGTCTACTATACACAAGAAGAGGAAAAACCTGTGATGCCTGAGAGTCTAAAATTGTGTTAGTGATTCACTGACCTGCAGAAGTTTGTGAGAGTGACTTCTTTGGACCTCTGTATTCCACCTCAGCATGTTTAAGAGGTCTGATGACAGCTATCTATAGAAAGCATTAGTAAATGTGAAAATAATTCTAATGCACAAATTATTGTGGCTTTTCATTCTAGAATTATAAGAGACCATGGATTAATCAACCTTAGAAAGTTTCAATGTAAGTATTAGCAGTTTTCTTTATTTTACAATTTTTTTCCAATATTATGAGTAATTTTAAATAAATCATGTATTGTAGTTCTTAATCCAAGTTGCATATTAGCCTAGCTATCACTCCAGACTAATTAAGTAAGAATCTCTGGGGTTGGAGGCACAGCATCTGCGTTTTTTGTTTTTTTTTTTTTTGAGACGGAGTCTCACTTTGTCACCCAGGCTGGAGTGCAGTGGCGCGATCTCAGCTCACTACAACCTCCTCTTCCTGGGTTCACACCATTCTCCTGCCTCAGCCTCCCGAATCGCTGGGACTATAGGTGCCTGTCACTATGCCTGGCTAATTTTTTTGTGTTTTTAGTAGAGACAGGGTTTCACCATGTTAGCCAGGATGGTCTTGATCTCCTGACCTTGTGATCCACCTACCTCGGCCTCCCAAAGTGCTGGGATTACAGGCGTGAGCCACCATGCCCGGACAGCATCTGCGTTTTTAAAGTCTTCGGGAAATTCTGATCCATAGTGAGAGTTTAAAAGTATTAATTTGGGACCATGTGCGGTGGCTCTTGCCTGTAATCCCAGCACTTTGGGAGGCTGAGGTGGGCGGATCACAAGGTCAGGAGATCAAGACCATCCTGGCTAACAAGGTGAAACCCCATCTCTACTAAAAATACAAAAAAAAATTAGCCAGGTGTGGTGGCACACACCTGTAATCCCAGCTACTCGGGAGGCTGAGGCAGGAGAATCACTTGAACCCAGGAGGTGAAGGTTGCAGTGAGCCGAGATCATGCCACTGCACTCAAGCCTGGGTGACAGAGTGAGACTTGGTCTCAAAAATAAATAAATAAATAAACAAATAAATGTATTCGTAGTCAACAAAACTTGTATTAAAATTCTTTTTTAAAAATTTGTATAGTAATTACAGTGTGAATATTAATGAATCATTTTCTGGATAGAGTCATGTTTTACAACTATGTGTTAAGCATAACATAACCTTAAGGTTGTAAAAATATTTTAGATAAATAACAGAAAGTGATCTTTATTTTGGATGGTTGTAGGCAGACAAAATAAATGATGTTTAATATTATATGATGGTGATAAAAATACATACAGTGATTTTTAAAATAAATGCCACCTTTGACCTTACTGTGGTTTTTTGTTTTTTAAGAGACAGGGTCTTGACTATTGCCCAGGATGTAGTGCAGTGGCATGATGGTATCTTGCTGCAGCCTTGAAGTCCTAGGTGCAAGTGATCCTCCCACCTCAGCCTCCTTATTACAGGCTCGAGCTGTCGTGTCTGGTCTTCGCTATTTTAAATATCAGAGATACCTAAGCAGAGCAGAAGAAGTCCCTGTATTTTTCTTCTTCCACAACATAGAGTCTTCCACAAATAAGAAGGATGATATCATAATAATAATCACAATGTTTGTATTAAAATATTTGTAATAGTTGTGTGTCATAATATTCTTTTTTTGTAAAGAATAACCTAATGGTTATGTTTGTACAATAACCTAATGGTTATTGTAAAACATATCCTAGTTGATAGATTCTTGTAGGGGTATTTCTTTAATAATCCATAGCATTATAGGGTTCAGTCAACAAGGTTAAGTGTCTTTTTAGTCTAAATGAATATCTAGCCAGGCATGGTGGCTTGCGCCTATAATCCCAGCTAGTTGGGAGGCTGAGGCATTGGATCACTTGAGCCCGGGAGTTCAAGGCTGCAGTGAGCTATAATCATGTCACTGCACTCCAGCCTGGCCAACAGAAAATCTATATTATTTTCTTAAAATATAGCCATGATCATAAGTATGTTACATTTTAGGTCCTTTATTATTTATTTATTTTTTGAGACAGGGTCTTAGTCCAGTTGCCCAGGCTAGAGTGCGTGGCTCAGCTCACTGCAGTCTCCACCTCCCAGGCTCAGGTGGATTCTCCCACCTCAGCCTCCCAAGTAGCTGGGATTATAGGCATATGCCACCATGCCCAGCTAATTTTTTGTATTTTTAGTAGAGACAGGGTTTCGCCATGTTGTCCAGGCTGGTCTTGAGCTCCTTGGACTCAAGCAATCTGCCCACCTCGGCCTCCTAGAGTGCTGCGATTATGGGTGTGAGCCACCATGCCAGCCTTATTTCCTTTTTCACTTTATGTTACATATTTTTCAAGTTACTGTAGTGTTTTGAGGATATCAGTTTTCATAGATTACATAATATGTACTTTTAATAGTTATGTTGTATATATACATGTAAGAGATATAATTATATGCTTCTCTCTTTAGGTATTTAGCTTGTTTTGCATTCTTTTAATCATTACATAAATAATGCTATGATGAACTTGTGAATAAAGCTTTGTCATTATTTAGGATTTTTTTAAAGGTAGATTTTTAGAAGTGGGATTAATACATCTAAAATTATGACCACTAAAAATTATTGATGCCTGCTGCCAAGTTGCTTTCCAAAAGATGGTTGTATTAATTTCTGTTTCTTCTAGCAGTATATGAGATTCCCTAGTGAACCCCATCCTTATCAAGACCCGTGGATCTGCAAAAATAATTCAGGATCAGATTAATTGATCGTGTTCTAGTAGCCACAGTAGTAGGTTCTCTATCTGAATTCCTGGGTTTTCCATAATAGTCCAGTTAATTTTTGATCTTTACTCCTTGTAGACATTGACTCTTAAATAAATTCTTCTTTCAACTGATAGAGGTCAGTTTTGCTTCATTATTCTGTTATCTATATTTTTTCAAACAGAGGGCTGAGGGGAAGCTCTGTTGCTTCTGAGAGTGTAGAAGTAGCGTGTGCATTGTGGTTTCAGAGGTTTTCAGCTGCCATTATACTGAATGTACAATTGACCTTAATATGGTAGGCAGGGGTTTTTTTTCTTCAAATTTAAAATTTTTACTCCATATTCTTCTGCTTTGTTTTTTGTTGTTGTTGGTTTTTTTTTTTAATGAGCTATGGCCGCTCCTTAAATCAGCTTCTAGGATTTTTGGGTAAGAATGTCTCCTGCAAGATAAGAGATTCACCTAAAAAGAGGACTTAGTTTAAATAGCGGTCGTAGGCTGGGCGTAGTGGCTCCCAGCACTTTGGGAGGCTGAGGCAGGAGGAATGATTGACCCTAGGAGTTAAAGACCAGCCTGGGCAACATAGGGAGACCCCCATCTCTGTATAAAAAAGCCAAGCATGGGGGCATGTGCCTGCAGTCCCAGGTATTTGGGAGGCTAAGGTGAGAGAATCTCTTGAGCCCGGGATGTTGAGGCTACAGTGAACTGTGATTGTGCCACTGCACTCCAGCCTGGGAAACAGAGCGAGATCCTATCTCAAAAATAAAAAATGAAAAGGCCGGGTGCAGTGGCTCACGCCTATAATCCCAGCCCTTTGAGAGGCTGAGGCAGGCGGATCACGATGTCAGGAGATCGAAACCATCCTGGTCAACATGATAAAGCCCCGTCTCTACTAAAAAATAAGAAAATCAGCCAGGCGTGGTGATGCGTGCCTGTAGTCCCAGCTACTCGGGAGGCTGAGGCAGGAGAATCGCTTGAACCTGGGAGGCGGAGGTTGCAGTGAGCTGAGATTGTGCCCCTGCACTCCAGCCTGGGTGACACAGCGGGACTCTGTCTCAAAAAAATAAAAATAAAAAATAAAAAAGCAAGCTAGGAAAAAATAATAGCTGTCATAAATGAAAGCCTGTATCTTTTGTCCAAGAGTAGATAGAACTAACCTAATTACTGATTGAAATGACCCAAGTAGCAGTTTGAGAGTTCCTCACTGCTCCAATCTACCAGTTATTGTTAGTCAGTTTTACTCTCCCGTCTTCTTTGCAGATACGTCTTTGGATTAGATATTTGGTCAGTAGTGATCCCCAGAGTTGCTGCTCTGGTGTCTCTGCATGATATTTGCATGACAGTTGTCAAATATAACTTCATTACCAGTAAATTAAGTTGTAGTAGTTAATTTAGTTTAGAGAAAGGCAAAGTGACCCGTATGAAGGATGAAAAAAATACATATCTTGCTTGAGGATGTGTAGGTGGTACATGCGAGAAATCACACCTTTTCTCAGCTAATGGGAAATCTTCTGGATGGATTATTTTGTCTGTAGCTTCCTTGTTTTCCTGTGGGAGTTAATACCATACATTTTGGCCATAATTCTTCCTAAGAATGTAAGATCTGCCTTTAATTGTCTTGTCCATTACTGCAAGCAGTTCCTGCCCCTGTGTAGTTTAAAAGATAGTGAGGTGGCTAGGCATGGTGGCTTACGCCTGTAATCCTAGCACTTTGGGAGGCCAAGGCAGGCCAAGATTGCCTGAGTTCAGGAGTTCAAAACCAGCCTGGCCAAGATAGTGAAACCCCGTCTCTACTAAAATACAAAAAATTAGCCGAGCATGGCAGCGTGCCTGTAATCCCAGCTACTTGGGAGGCTGAGACAGGAAAATTGCTTGAACCTGGGAGGCGGAGGTTGCAGTGAGCTGAGATCACACCATTGCACTCCAGCCTGGGCCACAGAGCAAGACTCCATGTCAAAAAAAAAAAAAAGACAGGTGGCTGGGCGCGGTGGCTCACGCATGTAATCCCAGCGCTTTGGGAGGCCGTGGTGGGCGGATCACTTGAGGTCAAGAGTTCAAGACCAGCCTGGCCAACGTGGTGAAACCCCGTCTTTACTAAAAATTCAAAAATTAGCTGGGCATGGTGGCAGGTGTCTGTAATCCCACCTACTTAGGGAGGTTGAGGTAGGAGAATTGCTTGAACCCAGGAGACCAAGGTTGCAGTGCACTGAGATCACACCACTGCACTCCAGCCTGGGAGACAGAGTGAGACTCCATCTCAAAAAAAAAAAAAAAATCAGTAGATGTGGGAGATTAGTAATGCTCAGTGGTGGAGACGATCTCCAGTGATAACATCCCTGTGGGATAGTTGCTATGGTGCTGTCATTATGATTAGTGTTTTGCATTCTTGGCTTTCCTGTTTGCTTCCTGTCATGGATAAGTTAGTCATGTGAGGTTATAAATAATGTTCTTCTATTTTACTAATTGTTAAAAAAAAATGCTGAAAACTTAGGGATCCTTACATTTCCTATGACACATTTATGTTTTATTTTCTCTGTAGTAATGGAACGGCGGTATCCCAAGGAGGTCCAGGACCTTTATGAAACAATGAGGCGATTTGCAAGAATTGTGGGGCCAGTGGAACATGACAAATTCATTGAAAGCCATGCATGTAGGTGGTTTTTGAGCCTTAAGCAGTATTTGTGTGTGTATGTTTATATAAATAGGAGAGATAATGATGTGTTTTATTCAGAGTTCTATAAATAAATAAATGGATATTTCTCTCTTTGTTCCCCTTTATTTCCATGGGACAAATTTGGGACTATGGGGGTAGCAGAAGAGAGGTTAAAAAGCCCTAATGGCTTTCCCCATTGCCCCAGATAAACAATAATTTAGTAGTTTTTGTCCCTGCTTTTTATCATGGGAATTTTCAAATATATATAGAAGTAGAGATAATAATATGATGAACTCCCGTGTATCCATTATCCAGCTTCAGCAGTTTTCAACACATGACCAGTCTGGTTTCATCTTTACCACCCACTCTCCCCTCTTGCCCTCGACTGGATTATTCTGAAGCAAATCCCAGACATCATTTTATTTTGTTCATAAATATTTTAGTATTAAAAGTAGTTTTAAAAATGAGGACAGAGATGGATAGCTTGTGGAGATAGTACTTCCATCGTTCTCTTGCCTTTCTGTGGTATTTCTGTGAGAGCTTTACCTAGTTACCATTTGATTTTTCACTATACAAAATTGAAAGTTGTTATGAGGCTGGGCGTGGCGGCTCACACCCGTAATCACAGCACTTTGGGAGGCCGAGGCAAGAGGATCGCTTGAGTCCAGGAGTTCGAGACCAATCTGGGCAACATAGTAAAACTCCATCTCTACAAAAATAGAAAAGTTAGCCAGGCATGGTAGTGCACACCTGTAGCCTCAGCTACTTTGGAGGCTGAGGTGGGAGGATTGCTTGAACCTGGGTAGCGGAGGTTGTCATGAACCGAAATCATGCCACTGCACTCCAGCCTGAGCGACAGAGCGAGACCCTGTTTCAAAACAGAAAACAAAATGTTAGTATGGCAGTAAGGCCTAGATTGTTAAAATAATATGGACTCTGGCTTATTCTGTACCTTTCATCACGACATTTGTGTATGTGGCCTCTTAAGTTTAGTTCTGGGAGGGTACTCTACTAAGGCCCTTTTTCTCATCATGAAAATATTTCTTACGTAGCATTGCAGACATTTATCTGAGCCAGGTTGGTTGTCCTCACTAAACACCTTGTTTGGTTGGCATTCTTTGGTTTGTACCAGGTGACTGATCCTTTACTTCCTGTCCCAGTTTGGGACACACCCCTGGTTTATGTGTCACTCCAAAGAACTACACCCCATGGATTGTCCAGGCTCTTCATTCTCTGTTTCAAAAAGCAACCAAGTTAGAATGATTTATCACATAATAACCCAAACAGTACAACCTGATCTGTATGCTCAGAGGAGGCAGAAACCTTTGGTTTATGGAAAACACAATGCACTTTTGTTCCTATAGGAATAAAGCTGTAAAGAAACTTACAGGGGCTTGCGCACAGAGCTTTTGTCCTTCCCTTGCATCAGGGCCACGTCAAGTAATAGGTTTCATAAAAGAACTTGGTCATGTGGGTGGAACTTTTAACAGAAGATAGTTAGAGCAGGGAAACTTGATTGTTAAAAAAAATTATATTTGGCCGGGTGCGGTGGCTCATTCCTGTAATGTCAGCACTTTTGGAGGCCAAGGTGGTTGGATCACCTGAGGTCAGGAGTTTGAGACCAGCCTGGCCAATATGGCAAAACCCCATCTCTACTAAAAATACAACAATTAGCCGGGTGTGGTGGTGGATGTCTGTAATCCCAGCTACTCAGGATGCTGAGGCAGGGAGAATCGCTTGAGCCTGGGAGGTGGAGGTTGCAGTGAGCCGAGATCATGCCATTACACTCCAGCCTGGAGGACAGAGCGAGACTCTGTCTCAAAAAAAAAAAAAAAAAAAAATTGTTCCTTTTGTAGACAAATGAATTCAACCATTTCACTAAGTTTTCTAGAAGACAGTTCCAGCTGCTGCCTCTGGAGACAGCAGCTGGAAGACAGCTGGAGTAGGTTTTCCTCAGCTCTTGGGTAAAATTTCTAATGAGAAGTTACCAACAAGTAGGATTCTCCAAATGAACTTACCTAGTCTTATAAGGCAGAATTAATGAAAATGCTCAATAGCAAAAGTGCTCACTGATGGTGCTTTTATTTTTGTAACTTTTTCCTTCATTCCTTTTGGGGAAAACAGTGGAATTTGAACTCCGAAGGGAAATCAAGAGGCTCCAAGAATACAGGACAGCAGGCATTACCAATTTTTGTAGTAAGTATGCTTCAGCTACATACCGTACCTGAGGGCAAGTGTCTTCCAAACACACAGAGGAAGTCTCTGAGTTGTGAATTTTTTTAAAAACATAAGCTATTCTTTACCAGAATGCTTTAAATCTTTCCAGTAAAGTTTTGGCTACTTAATCCCTATAAATACCTTTACATAGATTATCTTTGGTAAAATAAAAGTTATGAGACAAAGGAAAGAGAGGTGCTGCTTTAGATTTAGGATTCTGCCAAGGCTCTTTATAAAAAGAGAATCTTGGGCCAGGTGCAGTGACTCTCTCACGCCTGTAATCCCAGCACTTTGGGAGGCCAAGGCAGGTGGGTCACTTGAGTCCAGGAGTTCGAAACCAGCCTGACCAACATGGTGAAAGCCCATCTCTAGTAAAAATACAAAAATTAGGCATTGTGGTGCACACTTTAATCCCAACTACTCAGAAGGCTGAGGCACAAGAATCACTTGAACCTGAGAAGCAGAGGTTGTAGTGAGCTGAGATCGTGCCACTGTACTCCAGCCTGGGCGGCAGAGGGAGATTCTGTTTCAAAAAAAAAAAAAAAAGGACTGTCACCCTTTTCAAATTTAATGATACATGGCCTTAGCATTTTTATAAAATAATGAAGCTTCAACTGGCTCTAGGTGCTTGTATCCCAGTTACTTGGTGTAGTGACAATAATTATATTATTAGCAGCTAACATCTATCAGATGTTTACCATGTACCAGTCTCTATGCTAACCATTTCACTTGGATCAAGTCACTGAATTCTCATGACAAACTTACAAAGTACCATTACTTCCATTTAATGAAGAAATTAAGGTATAAAGAGGTTACAGAGCTAGTTAGTACTAGAACCAGATCGTAAGAGATAGTGTATTATAGTAGTTAAGAGCTTGGGTCCAGACTTAAAAAGCTTGAGTATAAATTTTGGCTCTCCAGTTTACCAGCTCTGCGATGTGATTCTATCTACATTTCTTTTCTTTCCTTTTTTTCTTTTTTTTTTCCCCCTAGAGACTGGCCTTGCTATGTTGCCCAGGCTGATCTCAAACTCCTGGCCTCAAGCAGTCCTCCCGCCTTGGCCTCTCAGAGTGCTGGGATTACAGGTGTGAGCAACTGTGCCTGGCCTCTATTCAAGTTTTAATTTTCTAAGGTTCTTAGTGTAAAGATTTAATTAGAGATACTGCATATAAGCATAGCACGGTATCTGGCACACAATAAATCCTTAATAAATGGCAGTTTCTATTGTTTTGCTGTCATTGTTGGAATGATCTTTAGCACTCCCTCCTTCTTCCTATTTGAAGTCTTTGTGATTATTGACAGCTATCACCTACTACCTATAAGAAATAGTTGGCTTCTTTTTTTTTTTTTTTGAGATGGAGTCTGGCTCTGTTGCGCAGGCTGGAGTTCAGTGGTGCCATCTTGGTTCACCACGACCTCCGCCTCCTAGGTTCAAGCAATTCTCCTGCCTCAGCCTCCTGAGTAGCTGGGACTACAGTCACACGCCACTATACCCAGCTAATTTTTTTATTTTTTTTATTTTTAGTAGAGACAGGGTTTCTCCATGTTGGTCAGGCTGATCTCGAACTCCTGACCTCAGGTGATCCGCCCGCCTCAGCCTCCCAAAGTGCTGGGATTACAGGTTTGAGCCACCGCGCCCGGCAATAGTTGACTTCTTAACACAGCCCTTTGGGTGCAACATAACCTTATGGATGTAAGTTCAGCCTAATATAATGGTTCTTTAACAGTGGAAACCATTTTTAAAATTAAATTTTGTGTGGAGCCCCAATCTACAAATAAGATAAAAGTGGAATTACTTTGGTTGAACTTTAATGGTTCAAGTTATGTGTAGAGCCCAGGACCGCTGGTATCTGGCAGTGCCCTTTCTCTTTACATTAACCTCTAAGATACTCCTATGGTATCCTGGGGCTCTGTGGAACCTAGTTTGAATTTTGAAACCCACTGGTGCAGTATTTTGGAATCTGTGAACCTTTTTTAACATGTAGAAAACACCACACAACTCTTCTGTTAGCAAGATGCATATAGAGACTCTGATAATTAATTTTGGTTTCCTGATATTGGCTGCCTCTGAGAAATATAGAGAAGAGGTACTACATGTCAAAGAGAACTCTTTTTTTGTAATTCTAATTGTTTTTAAAGGAAAGGCATATGCTTATAGCACATGTGTGACTTTGAAAAAATTTATAAAAATAGAAAAAACAGGAAGCAACTACGACTACAGTAAAAGTTGGTTACTTTTTGAGGGTGGAAGTATGAGCAATTCTTATTTTCTTTGTACTTTTCTATTGTTTTTTTTCTCCCAAATTTCTTACAGATAGAAAAGGAATACAAATATTTAATACTTAGTGTTAAGAAAAGGATTTCAAACTAGGGAAAATCTACTTGGGTCTTGGAGAAATAATTGTGAAAGCAGTTTTGCAAAGGAAATAGACTTTAACAACAAAACCCAAAACCAGTTTCTTGGTCAGTTAGAAAGCCCTTCAGTTCTGCTGCATTGTCATTGTGGTCACTGTGTTTTCTATACCCTCAGGTGCCAGAACCTACGATCACCTCAAGAAGACACGGGAGGAGGAGCGCCTTAAACGCACTATGCTCTCAGAAGTTCTCCAGTATATCCAAGACAGTAGCGCTTGCCAGCAGTGGCTCCGCCGGCAAGCTGACATGTGAGTAATTACTCCAGGGTGAAGGAGGCATTCTTTCTGGGATGCCTTGGCCTTAGCATGTATTTTTGGGCACCCTAGATGGCAGAGTAATAATAATTGAGTAGCTAGAAGAATTCAGAAATATTTTAGCAGTCCATCTCACAGAACCAGTGCCATACTGATAGTTTTGAGAAACAACTGACCTCCTAGAATCAAACTTTACTACTTTGATCTTATTTTTAAAAATGAGTGAATTTTCCCCTAGCCTTCTACCCGTGACTTCAACTCTCTCTTCATACCTGGATTTTCACTGGAGAATCATGTTTGTATCCCTTCCCCTTGAGTGGTGTTAGTGGTGTTCTAGACTACAAGCTTTTCTTAACAAATCTGAGGAATTTTTCTTCCTTAGAACAGATTTGCTTTCCTGCTCAATACAGTGAGATATCTATAAAACATAGTTCAGTCTGTCTCGTTACACTTCTTCAAGGTGACCTACCTGATAAACGGCACCCAGTCTCACAGGGGCTTTTGGAAATCACCTTGTTTGATATGACCTAAGTTTAAATTCCTCTTCTTTGTTGTAGTGATTCCGGCCTGAGTCCTTCCATTCCAATGGCTTCGAATTCAGGTAATTATTTCTCAGGCCAGAACAAGTCTTAATTGTGAAGTTTGCATCGTAGGGGTTATGGTGACCCAGCAATCTTCCTTCCTCTGTGGTGTCAGGGTGCTTAGGCAGAATAATAGTAAACATCAGTATGTTTTCAGAATCTTCATGGCCAGACAGAGACGATCCTCAGAGTGAGAGTATAGAGAGCATAGAGACGGGAAAAAAGAACTTCAGAGAGGTAACTTATTTTACCAATGTTCATGAGCAATTAGTTTACTGCAGTTGTGTCTACCACGAATTTTGAGACTTATTTCACAGGAGATAAATTAAAAGCTTTCTATTTTATTATTTTTTATTTATTTACTTATTTTTGGAGATGGAGTCTTGGTCTGTCCCCCAGGCTGGAGTGCAGTGGTGTGATCTCAGCTCACTGCAACCTCTGCCTCCTGGGTTCAAGTGATTCTCCTGCCTCAGCCTCCCGAGTAGCTGGGATTACAGGCGTGTGGCACCATGCCTGGCTAATTTTTGTATTTTTGGTAAAGACACTTTCGCCATGTTGGCCAGGCTGGTCTGGAACTGACCTCAAGTGATCCACCCACCACGGCTTCCCAAAGTGCTGGAATTACAGGTGTGAGCTACTGTGCCCAGCCTAAGCTTTTTATTTTTATATAACATGAGCAAAGAAGCATGTTACTTGCTAGAAACATAAGGATTTCTAAGTTGGAGACCTAAAGTATTTCTATTTCTTACTTTTACCTCTTTGAGTATGTCCTAGTTTGAGATTAGTATACCGAGCAAGATTAGGCCATATGCTATCTGATGATCCTTGGTGATAGGTAATCGATGACTGGCAATTTGGGGAGGTATGTCTCAGCAGATTCAGGATCTGGGTCTCAGATTTGTCCACTTTAGGGACTTTTTTTTTTTTGGAGAGATGGAGTCTTGCTCTGTCACCCAGGCTGGAGTGCAGTGATATGATCTTGGCTCAGTGCAACCTCCGCCTTCCAGGTTCAAGCGATTCTCCTGCCTCAGCCTCCTGAGTAGCTGGGATTACAAGCACCTGCCACTATGCCCAGATGATTTTTGTACTTTTAGTAGAGATGGGGTTTCGACAGGTTGGCCAGGCTGGTCTCAAACTCCTGACCTCAGGTGATCCGCCTGCCTCAGCCTCCCAAAGAGCTGGGATTACAGGCATGAGCCACTGCACCTGGCCACTTTAGGGACTTTTTTTTCCCCCATTTATTCCTTTACTTCAAGTAATTTTTTCTTAACATGGAAGGAAGAAAAAGGTAGTGTTTTAGGGGAGTAGCCAAGACAGTGAAATCCAAGTTTTATTTTGTAAGTTTCTTATTGCCAACACTCTGCCCCCAAAATCTAAATACAACTAAGTTAATACTGACTAATTAAAATGAAGGAACTGGGCCAGGTGCAGTGGCTCACGCCTGTAATCCCAGCACTTTGGGAGGCTGAGGTGGGCGAATCACCTGAGGTTGGGAGTTCGAGACCAGCCTGACCAACATGGTGAAACCCCATCTCTCCTTAAAAAAAAAATACAAAAAATAGCTGGGCGTGGTGGTGCACATATGTAATCCCAGCTACTTCAGAGACTGAGGCAGGAGAATCGCTTGAATCTGGGAGGCAGAGGTTTCAGTGAGCCAAGATGGCACCATTGCACTTCAGCCTGGGTGACAGAGTAAGACTGTCTCAAAAAATTAATTAATTAATTAATTAAATTAAATGAACTGGCTAACATCATAGATTTTTGTTTACTGTACCATCTGCACTGACTTGTTCATTGTTTATTTTTTCTTTTTCTGTGAGACAGGGTCTCCCTCTACTGTCCAGGCTGGAGTGCAGTGTGTGATCATGGCTCACTGCAGCCTTGAACTCCCAGGCCTAAGTGATCCTCCCAGTTCAGCTCCTGAGAGTAGCTGGGACTACGGGCAAATGCCACCAAACCCGGATATATATATATATTTTTTTTGGTAGAGACAGTGTCTTACTACATCACCCAGGTTGGTCTTGAACTCCTGGGCTCAAGTGATCCTCCTGCTTCAGCCTCCCAAAGTGCTGGGATTACAGGTGTGAACCTCTGTACCCGGCCTCTTGTTCATTGTTTGTTCCTAGTCTGGTGTTAGCCTTTCTCACCCCTTACATTTAGGCTGAGGAGATCTCTTGCTCTCCTTTATGTTCTGAGTTCTTAAGGCATCTATATATTGGAAGCCTGGCATCTTTGATTGTAGCCTAGCCTCTGGTGACTTTTGTGAGGAACCAAATGATTTTATCTCCCTTTTTGAGGATTTGGGATAATCCCTTATGCCTTTTGTTGATATAACAGAGAAGCCTGTTTTCCACCAGAGGAGCTTGTAACAGTCCCTCCCGTTTCTCTGCCCCACTTGAAAAGCAACCTCTATAAAACTTAGACATTTTCTTTGCTTAACTCAGTCTATCCATTCCCAGCTGAACACCAATCCCTAATACACAACCAAAACAAAACCAAAAAAGTTTTGCTCATCAAGCTTCCCCTCCTGGCCAGTGACCTCCTATTTAGGTTTCTTTCTCAGGTATGTGAGTTGACCTCAGCCCCTGCTTTGCCATATAATGGCTCATTGTTCCCGTTTGTGGATCTTGCAGGTAAACAGGGCTACTTTGGAAGGAACAGATATTCCCTCACATAATAAAAAAGACGGGCCTTTTGCTGGCCTAACAGTCTTTCTTTGATCTGAAGGCACACAGTACTTGGTTAATTACCATGTTTGCCTTGTACTGCTGGCCGAGTGGCAAGGATTAGGGAATGTCTGTCCTGCAGTTATTATTTCCATTCATCAGCTGTCAAAGCAGGCAGTGTGTGACCTTTCTTAACTGGATGACATTTGGGCATCAGATTTTAGAGTCTCCTACATGGTTAGGAAGAAATAGGTGATAGCCGGGTATGGTGGCACATGCCTGTCTTCCCAGGTAGTTGGGAGGCTGAGGAAGGAGGATCACTTGAGCCAGGGAGATTGAGGCTATAGTGAGCTATGATCGCAACACTGCACTCCAGTCTGGGCAACAGAGTGAGACCCTGTCTCAAAAATAATAATAATAATAATAATAATAAATAAAAGATAGCTACTGTAGTGAGTAGTTACATTTGATGCTAAGGTATGTGTGACTATGTGTATTTTAGCAGATTGTGGGTAATTCATATGCCCTGAATATGTAATTCATTTTTCTTTTCTTTTTTTTTTTTTTTTTTTTTTTTTTTTTGAGATGGAGTCTCGCTCTGCCGCCCAGGCTGGAGTGCAGTGGCCGGATCTCAGCTCACTGCAAGCTCCGCCTCCCGGGTTCACGCCATTCTCCTGCCTCAGCCTCCCGAGTAGCTGGGACTACAGGCGCCCACCACCGCGCCCGGCTAGTTTTTTGTATTTTTTAGTAGAGACGGGGTTTCACCGTGTTAGCCAGGATGGTCTCGATCTCCTGACCTCGTGATCCGCCCATCTCGGCCTCCCAAAGTGCTGGGATTACAGGCTTGAGCCACCAGTCCCCGGCCTTTTATTTTCAAGTGAATGTTCGGGTGCCCATGTTGCTAGCTAAACAGGCCTCAGGGAATGGGACAGGATTTCCTAAGCTGGATATAGTGAGCCTATACCTAGCTGGCCTGGCTGCACTGAAGTTTTTAATACTTTATACCTGAGAAATTGTCACTCCTATTAAATCTATGCTGTTTCCTTTCTCTGTCTATAGGTAGACGGAGTGCACCACCGTTGAATCTCACTGGCCTCCCTGGCACAGAGAAGCTGAATGAAAAAGAAAAGGAGGTAACAAAAAGGAGGGGGCTGGGGGAAAGAGAATAGGGGCTGATTATTCATTGAGTTGTCATTAAAAATCCATTACAGGGTCAAACCCTTGTGTTTCATCCATCTAACATACACGCACAGCTCTGGTGAATCCTAGAAGTCCAAGAGCTAAAGAGCCGCTTGTGACAGATTTCAGAGAATTGCTTACCTTGTCACGCTACCACCATTCCTCTTTTGGGGAAAGCACATGTGGTATGTAAATTACATAATAACAACAACTATCGTCTATTGAGCACTTACCATGTGCTACTCTACTAAGTGCTTTATGTAAATAAAATTAATTTTTTGTAAACCTAAAGTAACTTTTACATGAAAATAGGTATTTCCTATTAGAATGGCTACCTTGAAAAGTTCTATACTTATTCCAACAACATAATCATCATTTACAACATTTTTGTAAATTGTCTCCAGAGCATGTTTATAAACATAAGGAAAAGATTTTTATGTCATATATAGTCATGTTAATTTTGATTTTTAAAATTAATTTATTTATTTATTTATTTTGAGGCGGAGACTTGCCCTGTTGCCCAGGCTGGAGTGCAGTGACATGATCGCGGCTCACTGCAGCCTGCACCTCCCAGGTTCAAGTGATTCTTCTGCCTCAGCTTCCCAAGTAGCCGGGACCACAGGCACGTGCCACCAGCCTGGCTAATTTTTGTAGATTTTAGTAGAGATGGGGTTTCACCATGTTGGCCAGGCTGATCTTGAACTCCTGACCTTGTGATCCACCTGCCTTGGCCTCCCAAAGTGCTGGGATTATAGGCATGATCCACCTCGCCCAGCCTATTTTTTATTTTTTTGAGACAGTCTCACTCTGTCACCCAGGCTAGAGTGCAGTGGCGCGATCTTGGCTCACTGCAACCTCTGCCTCCCGGGTTCAAACCATTCTCCTGCCCCTGAGTAGCTGGGACTGCAGGCGCACACCACCACACCCGGCTAATTTTTGTATTTTTAGTAGAGACAGGGTTTCGTCTTGTTAGCCAGGCTGGTCTCAAACTCCTGACTTCAGGTGATCCACCTGCCTCAGCCTCCCAAAGTACTGGGATTACAGGTGTGAGCCACTGCGCCCGGCCTGATTTAAAAAATTATGTGACCTACTTTTTCCAGTTGCAATCATCAGACATGTCTTCATATTGATTTTATCTGTTTCTAAAATTTAAAGCCATCCTCATAAGAATCATCATCAGGAGTTTTCAGAAAACTGTGTCACATCTCTGAAGTGTGTTCCTCTTTTGGAGGAGTTCCTCTTTTGCTCCTCATATGCTCCTTTTATAATTCCCAAGATCAGTTTCCCATCTCCCACCATATATCATTAGTTCAGTTCAGATAATAAGGAAGGGTCATAGTGAAGGGGTAGTGTTAGTCTTATTTTATCCACCAGGAACAGTAGGGATTAGTTTGGGAGTGGAAGGAAATGTATGTAGTATCTATGTATTGCTGAAGAAGGTCATAGGCCAGCCTGATTCAAATATTGAATGGCCTGGAATGTCAAGCTTTTTTTATCCTTACTCACATAGTGGTGACCTCAGACTCCTCATTGCTGGATAATGTAGCAATTTTCTAGATTTTTAGCAGTTAAAGTTACGTCCTCTTAGCAAGGTCTCTTTATGTCCTTTCCCTTTGAAGTAGGAAATGTAATCCCCAAAGCAGGGACTACTGCTTTATGCTGATACTAAAAACAATGTGATGTGCCCTTGAAAATCCAAGTATCTGTGCATCCTGCCCCCACTGTGCCCCGTGGCTCTTCCCTGACCATTGGTGCTGGGACTGTACCTGGGCATTTAGTGTTTGACTCCTGAATGAGCCAGGCTGCTCCTCAGGAGCACATATCTGTAAACCCTAACACACCCAGGCCCCTGAGCCAGCTGGCATGTGCTAAAGGCTCTTCTAGCATCACACCCTGGCTTTCTCTTCCTGGGTGTGTGTCCTTAGGGAGCGTTCTCGCCAGAGAGGAAAAGACTAAATGGAATGTAGTCCAGCCACCCATCAGCGCCTATAAATAGTTGGAGGTTGATGTCACTTTAAAAAAAATTTTGCTATACCTGCTGGATTAAATTACAAAAATGACAGATGTTAATGTTTATTAAATTTGCCATGTCTTGCAGCTCTGTCAGATGGTGAGGTTGGTCCCTGGAGCCTATTTAGAATACAAATCTGCTCTATTGAACGAATGTAACAAGCAAGGAGGCTTAAGACTGGCGCAGGCAAGAGCGCTCATCAAGATAGATGTGAACAAAACCCGGAAAATCTATGATTTCCTCATCCGAGAAGGATACATCACTAAAGGCTGAGGCTCCGAGGGCTTGGGATCAGAAGTCAGAAGTTTGGAATGTGGTGGGGTCAAAGGACAGTGTGGGTGGGCATTCTGGAGAGTTTTGTTTTTCAGCTGAATTCTCATTGTGAAAAGAGGGGAAAGGACAAAGGAAACCTTAAGTTGTATTAAGTCTACTTTCTTCTCCATCCTGCTTTAAAACACTCCTGTTGTTGGTATTGTGCTGCAGAGTTGTGTGCTAGATAAGCTATTATTAAATGTGAGTGGGCATTCATTCCTAACACCTCTTGTAACTAAAAGAACCATAGTACCTCACTTCACAGTGCTGGTAGAAATAGAACTAAACCACAGTCTTTAGTCCCAGGAGTCCAGCTCAGATCCTTATATTGTGAGGTAAGTTTGCTGCTTATCTGCCTTGCCTTGAAACACTGCGGATAGATTTAAAATAAAGAGAAAGGTTTTAGAGCATAAGAAAGCTCTTGTCTAAGGGTTTTCTAAACTGACTTTTTTTTTTTTTTTTTTTTTTTTGAGACAGAGTTTGCTCTTGTCGTCCAGGCTGGAGTGTGATGGCGAGATCTCAGCTCACTGTAACCTCTGCCTCCCGGGTTCAAGTGATTCTCTTGCCTCAGCCTCCCGAGAAGCGGGGACTATACAGGTGCCCGCCACCACGCCTAGCTAATTTTGTATTTTTTGGTAGAGACAGGGTTTTGTCATGTTGGTCAGGCTGGTCTCAAACTCCTGACCTCAGTTGATCCACCCACCTCGGCCTCCCAAAGTGCTAGGATTACAGGTGTGAGCCATTGCACCCGGCCTAAGCTGACAACTTTTATGAGTAAAGGGGAAGAAAATATCCTTATGATAGTCTTATCCCAAACTGCATCTTTAACTTCGGCCGGGCGAGGTGGCTCGCCTGTAATCCCAGCACTTTGGGAGGCAAAGGCGGGCGGATCACGAGGTCAGGAGTTCGAGACCAGCCTGGCCAATATGGTGAAAGCCCGTCTGTACTAAAAATACAAAATTAGCTAGGTGTGGTGGCACACGCCTGTAATCCCAGCTACTCAGGAGGCTGAGGCAGGAGAATTGCTTGAACCCAGGAGGCAGAGGTTGCAGTGAGCCAAGATCATACTACTGCGCTCCAGCCTGGGTGACAGAGCGAGACTCTGTTTCAAAAAAAAAAAAAAAAAAACTTTAATGTCTGGCTTTGTACTTTGCAGTCTGCCTGTCTAATCTGCAGTAGTAGTCTTTTGAGGAGGTGGCACCGGATATAACATGTCTCTGTTATTTTTAGAATTAATTGATTAAAATGTTTTGCTATTTAATTTGTGGGTGTGTCAAATATTCTGGTAACTAAAATACACTTAAGGTGTTGGATGCCCGCCCCATCACGCTGCACTGTCTGCTGTCATATGTGTCCTGAACTCACCCTGTTCTTGCCCTGGGTTTCCCAGGATACCAAGCCCCTGAGGATGGAGATGATGCAACAAACCTCAGCTCTGCTTGGATTGAGACTTGAACCCTGATTTCTCAATGGTGAAAGGCTAGGCTGCAATAAAAGCTGCTTTTAAAACAGAAGTAAAGCAGTTTTATATATGGGACTCAGTAGATAAGAGGGTGAGTAGCCCCACCACATGTAAAACTTGGTCCTCAAATCTTTCTGCAGAATAAGAACCCAAATTTATGGTTATTTTGTTTCTGTTAGAAACAAAATTGTATATAGAAATAACTTCGTCAGAATCTACACAAATCACATCGAATAGTTGACTGATTGTTTAAATCTTTCTACATTCAAATATCTAATTAAAATATTGTGTGCTTTGTTGGAAGCATCTGCACAAATTTTGACTGTTGTAAATATGCATGCAGCTGGGAAGGGATTCATCTAGGGGATGAGAAATGAAAAAAAGACTCTCAGGACCTGAGGGAATTCAAATAGAGGGCTTTGATTTTTTAAAAAGAATGACATGTGGAAATGATCTTTTTTTTTTGTATAGTCATATCTCGTAGAAAACATTTTACCACTACCATCACCCCTAGTTGGTTGTGAAGGGATTGCCTCTTATCCCTGAAAGGTAACTCCTGTTCTGAAAAGTTGGGATGCATTAGACATCAGTGTTAGGTGATGTCTGTTGCAGTTTGAAGAGTCCTTAACCTTGATTAAGGAAGGCTTCCTGGGAGAGGTGGGCTTTTGGGGCCATTATATGATAGAGAAGAGAGAAAAATGGCAGATGGAAGTGGGAGACAGTTCCACACACAGGGGGTGGAGAATGATGTGGAGGCAGCAGTGGGTGTAACGACAATGGTGCCAAGAGATTTATTTGGCTAGAACACAAGGGGCAGCTGGGTAGTTAGGAGTGGGAGGATGGTAGGACAGTCTGACAGAAACCTTGGAACCAGTTGAACTCTGAAAAGCTGATGGGAAATCATGAGGAAAATGGCATGGTTGAAAATAGTAATAGAAAAATAAGACCTAAGTTTTAAATGACTGGATTTTAGAAAGTAGGGTAATTATTTCTTTGGTATACCCAACTTTGCAAAGATACGTAGCATTGCATCCTTCCTGTTTGCTTTTAGACAGGGTTGGCCATAAACCAACTACACTGATAGAGGTCTCTCCAGATTGTCTCAGAAGAGAGAGTTTACCCTGAAACTTAATGACATGAATAAGACTTATTTACTGAAATTTTTATTGCAATTTAACGTTAAAAGTTTCTGCTGGAGTTTTATGCATATTTTTCTCTCTAAGTGGTGGGAAATACAGAACAAATCTCTTTCCATGTAATGACTCTTCTCTGTGCTCAAAGACCAAGACTCTGTCTCTTGAGATACCAATTAATACTAAATATTCACAGTTTATCTTTTCCTGGGTCCCAGTTTCTTTCCTTTTATTGTTAACTATCTTCACTTTCCCTGCTTTTAAAAATCCGAACTCAGTTAAGCAACCAGTCATTGAAATCTTCCTCAGCTGGGGGTTAGCTAGAAAAGGGAGAAAACCAATGGCATTCATCAGTAACAACAAAATCCCAGTTTGTAAGTCATTCTAGCTTTAGGAAATATGTAGGTATGTAACAAGAGAAAAAATCTCCATTGAAGAATCAGAGGCCAAATTACATAGCAGTTTGAGAAAACTCATAAATATGTATGAGTTTTATTTCTTTAGTAAACCCAACTTTGCAAAGCTTAATGCCTAGAATCCCTCCAAAAACCACTTTTTCACCCATCTTTAAGCAGACAGTGGTACTGTATTCTCAACAGCATTCTGGGGAACTTCACCCATTCATTTTTAAGAATACCTTTGTGGACACCTTCTAAATATATATTGCATTATTCTTGACAAAACAAAAGGGTTTTCTGTATCTTATATGCACCTAGCTTTTTGTTTGAATTTCTAAAAATTATATTTAAATAAAAGTTTGATTCAAGAGGTACTGCTGATCTGGAAGCTTTGCTTTCCTTGCCAACATGCTTAGCCAAATGCAGCTAACCTTTCCCACATCTGCCAAAAAGGACCATCTTTGGAACACTGGGACACTGCCATGTCTGTGGCCTTGTGTAGAAGAGTTGGCCAAGCTAAAAGATTTCTCTTTAATCAGACACAGGCTGGGTGCAGTGGCTCATGCCTGTAATCCCAGCACTTTGTGCGGCTGAAGTGGGAGAATCACTTGAAGCCAGGAGTTTGAGACCAGGCTGGACAACACAGCAAGACCCCGTCTCTACATTGAAAAAAAAAAAAAGCAAGCTGGGTATGGTGGCTCACACTTTTTGTCCTAGCTACTTGGAAAGCTAAGGCAGGAGGATTGCTTGGGCCCAGGTAGTCAAGGCTGCAGTAAGTCATGATTGTGCCACTGTAGCCTGAATGACAGGGCAAGAACCTGTCTCTACAAAAAAAAAAAAAAAAAAAAATACCTAGTCCTTTTGAGCCACATGTAAGTGAAACAGAACAAGAGCAGGGTCACAGCAGCCTGAATAGTAATAGTCCTGCTGACATAGGCACTTGATTTGGGAGTGAGAACAATAGTGAAGAGCTTTTAGGCCGGTGGCTCATGCCTATAATCCCAGCACTTTGGAAGGATGAGATAGGCGGATCACTTGAGGTCAGAAGCTCCAGACCAGCCTGGTCAACACAGTGAACCTCCGTCTCTACTTAAACATACAAAAATTACCCAGGCATGCTGGTTTACGCCTATAATCCCAGCCTCAGGGAGGCTGAGGCAGTAGAATCACTTGAACCCGGAGGCGGAGGTTGCAGTGAGCTGGGATTGCGCCACTACACTCCAGCCTGGGCAACAGAACAAAGACTCTGTCTCAAAAAAAAGTGGGGAGCTTTTAACTAGGGAATTTGGAACCTAAGTAGCCAGTCTTTGAAATGTGCAACAGAACTGAAATGTTAGTATGCTGCGTTTGAGGGGGGAACAAATGAACAGTTTCTGAAAGGTATGGAAAACCAGTTTCTGTGTCTAATGGCAGGGAATTCTTTTTCTGTTCATTGTTTGTTGCCTTGGCTTCCAGCAGTTAAGGTATACTGCAGTCGAACTGCCCTTTGATTTCATTGATTAAGCTACAAATCAGAGACATTATTTAAGGGAAAGATGAATGTCATGCATCTGCCATTACAATTCCTTTGTCACTTGAGTAGCTTGTTATGCATTGTGTACTAGGCCCCCTTCCCTGTTGCCAGTAGGAATAAGGAAATGGAGATAGCACAGGAAGTTACCACTAAAGGGTTCGAAACCCTGAAAACTACAAAAAAAAAAAATTATTTCACAGATGTAGCCCTGAAGGTCACTGTACTTACCCTTGTCTTTGAAAACCCTGTGGTTAAATTTTGCCAGCCCAGACTTGGGCTGGATAATTGAGTCTGATGCACCTGTTTTCTACTTCAGAGCACCAGAATGGATTTTAGTGGCACCAAACTAATCATTTGGTTGAATTAACCTCCTGTTCTTAATCAAGCAACACTTTTTTCATCGTGGTCTGGTCTCCCCTGAGGCCATGGGTGGCAAAAAGCTTCCAGGTAGCTTATAATAATCCTGCCTTGGTCCAGAGTTGTGTTAACAGAATCAGCATCTTAGGAAGTATGGAAAGGAGAGGGCCTCACAGTTGTTTTAAGAAACCAGCACTTTCTTAAGCAGAAATGCTGAAATGCTGCCATCGAATCACCCTTATTCAGTGAACTGACAGCGAAGTGCCAACTCATGACATTTCTAACATCTCTCTCCTATCGTTGGAAAGCTAGCTGCCGAGTATACTCTCCATTTCCGAAATTGTTCGCAATGACCTAAGACTTTCTTTATACTAAACAATATGTAACTATTGATTTGGATCCCTCCCTCACCCCTCCATCCTTCATTATCATCATTTAGGGAATTCCTTTAAAACAGAAAAACATATTAAGAAGTTAAAAATCAGTGGAGGGCAGGTGTGGTGGCTCACACCTGTAATCCCAGCACTTTGAGAGGCTGAGGTAGGCGGATCACTTGTCAGTGGTTCGAGACCAACCTGACCAACATGGTGAAACCCTGTCTCTACTAAAAATACGAAAATTAGCCGGGTGTGGTGGTGCGTGCCTGTAATCCCAGCTACTTGGGAGGCTGAGGCAGGAGAATCGCTTGAACCCGGGAGGCGGAGGTTGCAGTGATCCGAGATTGTGACACTGCACTCCAGCCTGGGCAACAGAATAAGACTCTCTTAAAAAAAAAAAAAAAAAAGAAAGAAAAACAATGGAATTTGGGCTGTGGGCTCTTAATCATTTCTGATACAGTTACTACCAGAGATAACTAACTCCTAGACGGGGGGAGGGAATAGTGCATTTGCCCAACCGATGTCCCCTATAAGAAAACTGATGTTTTTATTTCAGTTTCTAATCTTTAGGAAGTTGTCAAAGATGAAAGGGCCAATTTTGGGGGTAATTTAATCGCTTTTCCCAAAAATTATTGAAAAAGAGCAAAAAGTTCAGAAATGTCTTGAAGACTCTAGCTAAGATGGATGGACTGATTTGAACTTTTAGTAGCAGACGAGACAGCAGGATTCTGGCCCTGAGATCATGGTTATTTGCTTTGGAGAGGTGGGGTAACAGCTTTTCCACACAATATCCCTAGTAGGAGCCTCTTTTTAGTCTTTTTTTTTTTTCCCGAGATGGAGTCTAGCTGTCACCCAGGCTGGGGTGCAGTGGCGCCAGCTTGGCTCACTGAAAGCTCTGCCTCCCGGGTTCATGCCATTCTCCTGCCTCAGCCTCTCAGGTAGCTGGGACTGACTACAGGCGCCCGCCACCACGCCCAGCTAATTTTTTGTATTTTTAGTAGAGATGGGGTTTCACCATGTTAGCCAGGATGGTCTTGATCTCCTGACCTCGTGATCCGCCCGCCACGGCCTCCCAAAAGTGCTGGGATTGCAGGCGTGAGCCACCGCACCCGGCCTCTTTTTAGCCTTTTTAAGGGCAAACTGCAGCTGTAAAGCCACTCCAGTGGAGGTGGAAGCATTTATCTAAGCTCTAGCCACAGATAGGCGATAGGAATGTCAACCTCACCTGGCTGTCAACCTCAACAAGAAAATCTTGGCCTTGTTCTGGGCGTGCATAGCTTCAGATTCAGGACACCTGTCAGATCTAAGATGGGCATGGGTTTTAATTTCATTTAATTTCAACTTCCAGTGATACAAATGGAAGATGCAAAGCAAAATGCTTTTGAGAGCAGTCTCCCAGGAGTGCCTCCGCCCCCAGCGACTGTGGAAAAGAAGGCGTTTGTGGGAGAGAAGGGTGGCTATAGACGTCATTGCATCATCCAGATCCCAGCTGTGACCTGGCTCAGAGTTTTCCAGTTAAAAATAACCATGGCTTACAATTGGAGGAAAGAGTAAACTGTTGCGTCTCCATGGAAACTAGAAGTGTGTGTGTTGGGGGGTGGAAAAAGATTTCTAGCACATGTGGCAAGATGGGGTGGATGTAGGGATCAGAAGCTTAGAGGCCTTCTGATGAAAGCTGATAACCCTATTTAGCGTCCAGGAGGTAGCCAGACACTGCTCCAGGGCGCTGGAGACACTCTGCATCAAGGATTTGTTTACAATGATGTGTACATCTCGGGTCTGGTGAAGAGTTAATTTGAGCCTTCTGACTTCCTGTAACAGGTTTGCTACTATTTGGCAAAGCAAAGAGGAGATGAGCAAGACTGTAGGTTAGATGTTGCCTTTTAAGCAATCTGGGAACCTCAGCTACCTTTCCATTCACATTCTGTTTCTTAGCATATTCAGCACACCTTCATTTGCATATTCAGTAGCTTGGTATGATACATGTAGCAGTTTAGAACTAGAGGGGAAGTCTCCAGGTTTTTGGGTGCGTTTGTACATTTACTCCCCTTCAGTAAGACCAGGTTTTCTTCTTTGTTGCATGAGCTTATGCAAAGCATCATTCAATAGCTTGTTTGTCTTTAAAGGTAGGTCTCTTATCATTTCTGGTATAGTTACTACCACAGATAATTAACTCCTGAAGGGAGAATAGTTCATGTACCCTTTTTTAGAAGGTCTCTTTAAAATTTTATTTTCTTCAAATACATTATAGTTGTAAAAAAATTTGTTTTAAACACTCATTTTATTTTTATTTTTATTTTTTGAAATGGAGTCTCGCTCCGTTGCCCAGGGTGGAGTGCAGTGGCGCGATCTCGGCTCACTGCAACCTCTGCCTCCCGGATTCAAACAATTCTTCTGTCTCAGCCTTCCAAGTAGCTGGGACTACAGGCGTCTGCCACCACGCCCGGCTAATTTTTATATTTTTAGTAGAGACGGGGATTCACCTTGTTGGTCAGGCTGGTCGCGCACTCTTGACCTCAGGTGATCCAATCACCTCGGCCTCCCAAAGTGCTGGGATTACAGGCGTGAGCCACTGCGCCCAGCCATTTATTTATTTTTTGAGATGGAGTCTCACTGTGTCACCCAGGCTGGAGTTGCAGTGGTGCAATCTCAGCTGACTGAAACCTCTGCCTCCCTGGTTCAAGCAATTCTCCTGCCTCAACTTTCCGAGTAGCTGGGATTACAGGCGCGCACCACCACGCGCAGCTAATTTTTGTATCTTTAGGAGAGACAGGATTTCACCATGTTGGGTCAGGCTAGTCTCCAACTCCTGACCTCAAGTGATCCCCCTGCTTCGGCCTCCCAGAGTGCTAGAATTACAGGCGCAAGCCACCTCGCCCCGCCAAAACACCCATTTTAAAATTAAGAGTTTAGGCTGGGCACGGTGGCTGAAGCCTGTAATCCCAGCACTTTGGGAGGCCGAGACGGGTGGATCACGAGGTCAGGAGATCGAGACCATCCTGGCTAACATGGTGAAACCCCGTCTCTACTAAAAAATACAAAAAACTAGCCGGGCATGGTGGCGGGCGCCTGTAGTCCCAGCTACTCGGGAGGCTGAGGCAGGAGAATGGCGTGAACACGGGAGGCGGAGCTTGCAGTGAGCTGAGATCAGGCCCACTGCAGCCTGGACAACAGAGCGAGACTCCATCTCAAAAAAAAATAAAATAATAAAATAAAATAAAACTAAGAGTTTATAGAGCAGGCTGGGCACAGTGGTCACACCTGTAATCCCGGCTACTTGGGAGGCTGAGGCAGGAGAACTGCTTGAACCTGGGAGTTGGAGGTTGCAGTGAGCCAAGATCGTGCCATTGCACTCCAGCTTGGGTGACAAGAGTGAAACTCCATCTCAAAAAAAAAAGTTTATAGAGCAAGTAACTGAAGAAGTAGGAATTGTTGACATTACTGGCCCTCTACAGCTAAATGTTTTCTTGTTTACCTGCCTGGTGTACTGAAAAGATCTGAGCACTAATCCCTGTTCTGGTATTTAATAATAATGCAACCTCGGGCAGTTTTTTAACACTTCATGTCTAATGTGTGGTTGGTAATACCTACCTGACTGGGTTGATGAAGATTAAATGGGCCAGGTGTGGTGGCTCACGCCTGTAATCCCAGCACTTTGGGAAGCCAAGGTGGGTGAATCGCCTGAGCTCAGGAGTTCGAGACTACCCTGGGCAACATGGTAAAACCCTGTCTCTACTAAAATACAAAAAATTAGCTGGGCTTGGTGGTGCGCACCTGTAGTTCCAGCTACTTGCGCCATAGCACTCCAGCTTGGGCTACAGAGTGAGACTCCGTCTCAAAAAAAAAAAGAGAGTAAATGGGTTAAGGTATATAACATACCTGGTGCCACTCCTTCCTTTTCTTTTCCCACTGAGCCTTTGACATTTAGTTTCACTGCAGTCAGATATGAGCAAGTACATGACTTTCCTGTACCACCCAACTCACATGCAAAAGTCTCACAGAGGGACATGAAGATCTGCAAGAACAAATGTTAAAACAGATGTGCATTTAACAAGGATGTTGTTTATCTTGAAATTCTCATCACTGCATCATTGCTACCGCCCAAGGGTTGAATTAAGGGCAAAACATTTCAGAGACAGATTTGAAATTACCTAATTATCCTAGACATGCTGTAATGTTCCCTTTTATAATGCCTGGCTCAAAAAGCTTGATGTCAGGTTACAGAACTGTATGCATACTTTGATTGTAATTGTGTTAACAAAACTAAAAAATCTTGCATACAATCAAGACCAGAAAGAAATCCAGATGCTAACTGTTGTTTTGTTAAGTAATAAAATTGTGGTGAGCAATGCTTTTTCTCTCCTTTTTCCTTTTTTTTTCTTTTTCTTATTTGTAATGTGACAATTCTTTATTACTTGGAAAGTACATTTTATGAGAACTGTGAAAACTTGGAAAGAAGTTCAAAGTATTTTACATTTAATAACATCTAGTTAATCCTTATGATATCCAGATAAGGTGCTACTTTACATCTTATGAAATAGCACAAGCCTTAGGCAAACTTCTGCAGTAGAAGAAATGTGTTCTGAGACTTCTATCTTGCTTGTTTTTAAGAAATCTTTTCTCCCAGAAACCTGGTGTCCAGTGTCCCTCTCAAATCTGCTAAAGGACAGTAGCTTAAAGATTTACTTATCTCAGGGGATTTGCATTTTTATAGCCATCAATGGCATATAATTTGGAATTAGAGGCACAGGCAAGCAGGCCTTCCGAATCTCTGTGAGCCACAAGACCCGATGGCACCCTGAAATCAAACTTCTGTAGACTGGGAGCCTTGATGACCGCTGTTCCCCAATTCTGACAGATCAAAGCTGTTGCCAATTTGTTAACCAGAGGCAATGATACAAATGGAAGATGCAACTATTCATTCTGAGGGACCCATAAAAGTCTGATTAATCTAAGGAGCAGTCATTGCCCAAGCAATTAAGGAGAATATTTTTGGAAAGGCAGACATCAGAAGCTAAGCAGAGTACAAATATCCGCCCTCTACTTACTGTGTTAATCAGATCAGCTCTCACTCTTTGTAGATGCTGCCCTGCTTGAAAGCACTGCTTATTTACCTGGGAGTCAGGAGAACCCAAACCCTCCCTGGCATAGACAAATTGTAATTTTATAGCAGACAGCCTCTAAAATGTTTCTACATCCAAAATAGTTGACACCGCCAGGCGCAGTGACTCATGCCTCTAATCCCAGCACTATGGGAGGCTGAGGCAGGAGGATTGCTTGAGCCTAGGAGTTCAAGACCAGCCTGGGCAACATATTATTTAAAGAGACGTTGTCTCTTTAAATAGTAATAAAAAGGCCGGGTGTGGTGGCTCACGTCTGTAAACCCAGCACTTTGGGAGGCCGAAGCAGGGGCATCACCTGAGGTCGGGAGTTCAAGACCAGCCTGACCAACATGGAGAAACCCTGTCTCTACTAAAAATACAAAATCAGCTGGGCGTGGTGGCATGTGCCTGTAATCCCAGCTACTTGGGAGGCTGAGGCAGGAGAATCACTTGAACCCGGGAGGCGGAGGCTGCACTGGGCTGAGATTGTGCCATTGCACTCCAGCCTAGGCAACAAGAACGAAACTGCCGTCCCCCAGAAAATAATAATAAAAACAATAATAAATTAGCCAGGCGTGGTGGCGTACCTGTAGTCCCAGCTACTTGGGAAGCTGAAGTGGGAGGACCACCTGAGCCCAGGAAGTGGAGGCTTCAGTGAGTCATGATTGCACCACTGCACTCCAGCCTGAAGCCTATCTAAAAAGGAAATAAAAGAAAGAAAAATTGACACCTATAAAGAAACTCACATACTTATTATAGTCTAGAAATGTGCTGTCCAGTAAGGTAGCCACTAGCCATATGTGGCTATCTAAATTTACTAAAATAAAATTTTAAATTCACTTCCTTAGTTACACTAGCCACATTTCAAGTGTTCAGTAGCCACATGAGGCTAGTGGCTACTGTATTGGATAGTGGAGATACAGAACATGTCTATCATCACACAAAGTTCTATTGGACAGTGCTGGTCCAGAAGAGAATACCTTCAAATTGCCTTTTTGGTAGAGGCATGTATAAGCCCGCACTTCCACATTCTGTAAAGGCATAAAGCGCCTCCCTACCCCAGAGCATGTCTGTACAGTCATTACATGGTCTGACTTCAGCACTTCTTTCTACTTAATCTCTAAATCTCTAAATCTTGACACGCACATCACACACAACACAAACTCTATTTTAGCCCACCTCCCTCCTCTTCACTGACTCTTCATGGTAGGTTTAGTTCCCATAATCCGTGAAAATGCCTCACTCCTTGTCACTAGAGCTTGTTCTGGAAACCTGCCTTCAGTGTAACAAGCTGGAATGTGAAGAGGGATGCATCTATCTGTGCTGCTGAGTCATTGAATTGACTGAAGCTTCAAGGACTAGGGGGTGCTGAGCAGAAAGGAAAACACAATCCTGTTAGAGATTTGCTCTTTTCGTATTGGCATGTAAACAAGTAAGTCACTAAGTGAACTGACGTCACAATTTAGTATTAGGAAGATGCTTTTCCCAGGCACGATTTGAACTCAGTGGTTTCCTGAATCTAGTAAAGTATGCTACTTTGTTTTCTCTTAATTTTGCCTAATTTTAAAGCTTTCTCTTTTTATGAAGACAAAAATAAATCTCTCTAGACCTTTTTCGTTTCGCAGGATTATCATTAAAATTATCACTAACTTTTAGATATTCCAGCACGCATCGGATGACTCTGAAGCCGGTTGGGCAGTGGAGATCGGGAAGAACATGAAAAAGCTTCAAAGCTTTTGGTTGAAGACATCAGGAGATGTAAACTCCAAACGCGGGCTTTACTTCTCCCCCGCACCCCTCCCCGCAAACCCATGCCTACTCGTTTGACTGCTCAGCAATTCTGAGGCCAACGATTTGCAACGGCGAGGAGCAGGGGCTGGTGAGTCAAGGACTGGGCATGGAGTCAGGACTCTTAGGTGCACTGACTCACGGCAGAGCCTTGAGGAAGTCGCTTTGCCTCCCACGTGTCTCCCCTCACCTGCCAGAGGCGGAGGGGAGGCGGGGCTGTGCTAGAAAACGTCCGTTTTTCGCACCGATTTATGTTACAGATGGGCAGACCTGAATTTTAAAAGACCCTCAGAGTTACACAGCAAATGAGCCATCAGTGAATGCCTGTGTCCCGCCTGCGCTCCGGAGAACCCCAGCCCTGCCTCGGGGGCTCGGGCGGTGGGTGTGGGCTCCGAGACTCGGACAGCACCTTGGCGTGGCAGGAGCAGGCGGAGATGCGCACGGAGGTTGGAAGTTCACCTCCTCCGGGTCTCGGGCGCCACGGCTGCCCGTACCTGTTCCAGCAAGGGTCAGCCAGGGACTGCCGCGCTACTGATTTTCCCTTCGCTCTTGGGTCCCAACTCCCGGGCTCTCCGGGCTGGGGAGGCGGTGGGGTGGGGTCGAGGCCGGGGCTCGCCACCTGCGGCGGCTTCACACCTGTATCGGATTTGCTTTCTCGCCTTTAATCTTCTCCAATCCCGAAAGCACCCCAGTAGAGCGCCCCCGCAGCCCGCCTCGAGCCTGGCTCATAGGCAGACGCTGACTGGGGAAGCGAGCGGTCGTCCGTGTGTGAGGCAGGGTAAAAGACCGGAGGACTCGGACAGAGGGGCGCCCTGGAGGAGGCGGCTACCTCGGGAGCTAGGGGCGCGCCCGGGCCACCCCGCACCGCGCAGAAGCCCAGCGCGCACGCGCGCCTCCAGCCGCCCCGCGCGTTCCCCCGCCCCGCGCCGCGTCCCCCAACCTCGGGAGAGGGCGGCTAGGCGCAGGGAGCGTGCGCGCGGCCCGCCCCGGGCGCGGGCGGAGGGAGGAGGAGGAGGCGGCGCGCGCGGCGCTCAGCCCGCAGAAGCCGGCGGCCGCGCAGTAGGACGCAGCCCTATCCGAGACCCGCGCCGCGCCGGTAGGGGACCCGCAGGCCCGGGGGTGGGGGTTGTGGGGAGGCTGTTGGGGTGGGGGCGGGAGGGCGGGACTTCGCGCTTCGGGTCCCGGTGCGCAGGGGGCACCCAGAGGCCCGCGCGACCCCGCCTCTGGAAACTTTGTGCCGGCGCCCCCACCTGCTCCCCGGCGGTCCTTGACTCTTCGGGGCGGCGCAGGGAGGAGAGGCCCGGGAACCCCCGCAGCGCACCCTTGCCGGCCCTGGGCGTGCGCCCCCTGCCGCTCTCCCGCCGCGCCACGCCGCCTCCGCGACCCTGTCCGTGTGCCCCGGGGCTCTAGCATCCTCGGCCGCGCCTCCCCTCTGCCGCCTGCCAACCCCGCGGAGGCCGCCCCGTCCCGCTGGCATCCACCCGCTCTGGAGCGCGCCGCGGCTTTTTGCATCTCTCGTACGTTTCTTGAGCATGGATAGAAGCAACTTGACTTTCAGCGATGCCAAGTCTCCAACTTGAGTCTTCCTCTGCGGTGGTAGATGGGTGTGCGCGGTGCTAACATCTGTCTTTTTATTTCTCCTAAGTACCCTTGCTCCGGAGCGAAGTTGAGTTATTGTCTGTAGAGAGGAGGTGCGTGCTGTGGCCGCCTTAAGTGGATTGTGTAACTGTACTTTATTTAGGTGGATGTTGCCAGTGGTACCAGCCAGTGTTATGGTAACTGGGCATCCCAGAGGCTAGGGAAGGAGGAGCGACTTACAAATGCAGTTGTACTATGCAGGGTTTTTTGGGTTTTGTTTGTTTGTTTGTTTGTTTTTTAAGCCACCTTGTACTTTCTAACTAGCAGGACCTCCGAACATTTAACGTGTGTTAACTCGTTAGCTGTTCATTATGGTTTTATAAGAGAGGGGGTTGGAGAGCATTACCATCCCGTTTTACAGATGTAAAAACGGAGGCGAAGAGCAAACTCCGGGTTCCTTAGTAAGCTTAAAGGCATAGGGACCAAGAGATTTAACCCAGAGTCTCCTGGAATTCCTAGTCCCTAAGGCCACTCAGAAGTATAATGGAATGTTGGACCGTCTTCCCTGACATTCTACAGAGCACTTAAGAGTCAGAGAGGCCGAGGCCAGCCGGCAGCTCCAGGCCTGAGACTCAGCTCTGCCACAAAGTTAAGTCACACTGGACAAGTCACAGTTTCTCCCCGCTCATTTCCTTCCTGCTCTCTAAAAACAGGGGAACAAAGGTGCTGTATTCTTTGCAGAGTCGTGCGTGTGTCTGGAAGCTCCACTCCCTTGAGCTGCAATTTGGTTATTGTTAGTTGTTGTGGACTCATAAAGGACCCCAGTCTTGGTTCCCTTGAGAAACGCAGGGAAGGAGGCACCCCCACAGTGAACGCCTCTTCTTCGCCGGAGACGCCTGAGAATTCGCATCAGGGACACTTCACATCAGGGACAGGCCGGGGCAGAGACCCTGACCTGGGGGAGGGACGAGGGTTGCCACGAGGAGGTAGGAAGGAGCCCTGCACAGGCGGCTTGACACATGGGCCCTATTCCTGCCTCCAGCTCTGACTCATCTTCTGACGCTTGGGGGAGGAGAGGTAGTCGCTTGATATTTTTGGCTTTCCCCCATAAAACTGGAGACGGTTTCCTTCATTCCAAGTCGTTTTAATGTCAGTGTTGAACGTGTCTGTCCTGAGTTCTCATCTGAAAGCTTTCATATCGGTTGACTGCAGGTATGAATTTTGTAATAATAATTAATAGAATGGCGTAAATGTATATTCATATCATAAAAAATTAGCCAAGTATGTTAAGTCCAGGAAATCCTTTAAGACTTTAATGTTTTTAAAAGGTGGGCTTTTGGGAGGGCTGTGTTTGATCGGTTCCTTTGCAGTTGGGATTTTAAGGCAAAATGGATTAAAAATGCTTTTCCCAAAATCACAAGGAATACATTAACCATTCTCTGTGACATTTAAACTTTACTAATAAGGTTAAAGCTTTCTTTTGAACCTCTTTCTCAAAAGTAACTGCCGAGTGCGTCTTTATCGGTTTGTGTGTATCTTTTTAGACTTTTGTAAGCATTTTTATAAACGTCTGTTTGCACAAAGTGGTTTTTTAACTGAAATTAATTATTTTAAAACTGACTTGTCCTGTTCATAAAGATTTGGCTTCTGTCAAGAACAAGTAACGTGTTTAAGTACAACTGTTCCTAAAGTTTTAATAATCCTGATAGACGGTGTTACTTCTCAGGGCAAGGGGCAAATGACCCCTTTTTAAACAACTTCAAAGTAGTAGAATCATTACGATCCTAGGTTTTACTCTTAGGTGCAGAAGAAAACTTTTCCTATTAAAAAACAAAATCTAGGACTACTAGCATAGTATCTTTGCTTATAAAGAAACGTCAAAGGGAGTGGAAGGCAGGGAGAGTTGCTAAAGCAACCGAGGCCTGGGTATAAACTTACAGAGCTAACATTTAAGATGGCTTTATTATTTATGAAAGCTTCACTTCACCTGGGTGAAGACAAAGGAAAGTTAATGTGGGCACTCTTCAAATCAGTAATTTCAGGAAATGGATGGGTTAAAACAAAATTCATGTCAGGAGTCTGTGGATTTATATATTATACATTTACCGAGGACTTTTACCATGCTCAAGGTGCTGTGCCTGAATACAGAGGAAGAAGGCAAGTAAGGTCGGCCTCTGACCTTATGAAGCTGACAGCAAAAAGTGACATTCAGAGAGGGTTGGCCAGAATTGTCATGGCTCTGAATTCCTAGAAATCAACGTTACATTTATTGAATTGTGAATTATGCACGGATAATTTGATGGGTTATTTTAACGAAAACCTAAGTGTAACTGTCTTGCAGGTCAAGAATCTCACTCCACACTCTCCCCCTCCCCCAGAGGTCCTAGCCAGAAACTACTCTGACTTTTATGGAAATCACTTCCTTCTTTTCTATAGTTTTGATCCCTTAAATATAAATCCCTAATTGACATAGTTTTATTTTGTTTTTTAACCTCAGTGCAAACTAAAAGTAGATACTCTTGTGAATCCTTTCTGGTCGGCATCGTGTGTGTGTGTGTGTATGTGTGTGTGTGTGTATGTATGTATATATATACGCACATATATAATTTTTTGTTTGAATTTCTGCAGCATACTATTTTAAAAGATTTATCCATGTTGTTGCCTATGCCTGTAGTTGTTTTTGTTTTTGTTTTAATTTTTTTAGAGACAAGGTCTCACTATATTGCCCAGGCTGGTCTTGAACTCCTGGGCTCAAGGGATCCTCCTGCCTGGGCCTCCCAAAGTGCTGAGATTATAGGTGTGAGCCACCACACCCAGCCCAGTTAGTACATTTTTGTCTTATGAACATACCACAAATTACCTGTCCACTGTTGATGGACATCTGGGTCGTTTCTGGTCTGGGGCAATTATGAACAGCCCTGAGTCAGGTGTGCATACCTTCAGCTTTACTAGTTGATACCTGGTTTCCAAAGTGGTGGCACCAATTTACATTCCTTCAGGGGTGTCAGCCTTGAGTCTGTAAGTCACTGTATTTGCTGTTTAACCACAATTATGCTTGAATATTTCCTGAATGAATGAATAAAGGTCCCCGGGTAGTCTGATCCCTGGCCTGTCACGTACCAGCGTATTTATATTTAGTTATATGGTTTGGACTAACCACCCAAACACCAGAAGTGGTTTTCCCACTGTGTTTGGTTGACAAATATCTAATGGAATCCTTTCATCAATCTTTTTTTTTTTTGGAACAGATGAGTAGTTATAGGACATTTTAAATATGCAAAATGAAGTACTAAAAATAAGTGTCTAGTACCTAGAAGTCTTTTAAGGCTTTTGAATGAATCCTGTCTCTGGTGAATGCTTCTATTGTGCCCAGCCCTCAATGTGTAGGACAGTGTATTGTACAGGAACCCAGGCCTATCCTTGTGAAAGTACCCTCTGAGGACGAGACTCAAATCACACGCTTGCGTGCCTGTTTGTAATCCTTAAGAGGCACTGTGCACAGACCCTAACATG